ATGAGCTCCGTTCCGTCTTTTAGTTTCACTTTTGAAGTGGTTGTTCGAGGCAGCAAACTCCGGCGTTAACCTATGCCGCCATCTTGGTTCTCCCAAGAAAAATAATCTTACATATGATAATATTACATGCAATAAACATTAATATTTCAAGAATAAATGGATTTTAAGTATAATAATATTACCCACACAATGTATTGTTGTTTGGTGTTCCTTTTCTGTCTTTAAAAATCTGTGCCCTGCTCTCACTTTCCCCCACCCTGTTGTTTATTTGTTGAAGAAACCAGGTCATTTGGTGTTGAGTAAGACTCCCTCCACGTTCTGCGTGGAGTAGGGTTCGGTATCTGAAAGAGGAGCCGCACAACAAATGAGAGAAAAAGACACGAGATAATTTTGCAATATTGGGGGACCAGGCGGCCAAGTCCTGAAGGACTTGATCTGGAGTAGCCCTTAGGGTAAGGAGGTTTCAATGACACACGGATCAGCAGATTAACTCATCAATAGATTTCTGGGAGTATCTGATTAACAATAATCAACAAGGATCTACATAAGTATCTAAGGAATTAAGGGAACTAAGGTGGGGATGCTTCAACTATTATTACCTAAATTAACTGAGTGGTTCCTAGATTAACTGGGTGGTGCACAGCCCTGACCTTTGTTAGGACTTTCAAGCCCTGACCTTTACTAGGACTTTCAAGGGCTACCAGCTTCTGGGGGGTCTCTGTCTAAACTCAGCTAGTGAAGACAATAAATGGACTCCGGCAATTTGGCCTGTCAAATCTCCCAATTTTGGATTTGGCATCCTTTTCCTGTCACTGAAAAAAAATGTCTCTTTGATTGGGTATTTCTCGTAAACAGGCAGATTGGAGGCTGAGAAGACTTGGTGTAATATTTTTGGGTGAGAATGATTCAGCGCTGGAGCGCAGTGGGCCCCTGGTACCGTTGTCCCTGCTTTATGATGTTAGGATTGATCAGTGGGTTCAGACAATGTCCGTCCGATGGCCCATTATAACGTTTCCCATCAGCTGCCTGCCTAATGATTTTAGCCGCCATTGAGGATCAATGCCTGGACCCATTATTGTATTAGGGTTACAAAATGGCGATTTTCTATTTCTGGCTTCCCTCCCGCTTTTAATAGCTAGAATTCCCCTGGAAAGAGGAACTTTTCCTTATGATCTGTTTGTTATTCTGAAATAAATGCTTGGTTGTTCCTCTGTTTGCATTTCATAATAATGACGTTGCCTTAGCAACCTCTAGGGTGACTACCCGTTGTTTGTCTTTAAGAGTTTAATTTTAAATATATTTGAATGCATTTCTATCAGCGTTCTTCTGGATGCCTGAATTGTCCTGTCTTTGGCCAGTGGAAACTTTACCAATCCAGTACCTGTGACCGGTAGACACAATCCTCTCGGTTTTAGAGGGTGGCTTTTGTCAGCTTGAGGCATCAGCTACTGGAAAACTCTTGACTAGTGAATTCCTCCCCCCTGTCCCGTTCCACAGGGATCTGCCCTCATCCCTTGGGCTGCTGCCTGGTTCTCCAGTGTGGCTGCAGCGGAGTCGATGTGGCATTCCCCTCTTGGTGGCTATTTGGATGGCGTCCAGTCTTTGGCCATCACCTGTAGTGCTACTGAGAAAAACTGGCTTTGGGTTAGAGGGGGCCAGAGCTGATTCGCGGCCCAGTCAGAGGTCATTGTAAGAATCTATGAGTGAGTTGATGGTGGCCTATGACCAGAAAGCGCCAGTGGGGATGGAGAGGAGTGGGTACATCTGAATGATATTTAAGCGGTGATTATCAACATTGACGATGGATTGGAGATGGGGCATGTGGGAGAAGGAGGATTCAAGAATGACCCCAGGCTTTGGCCTGGGTGGTTGGGTGCATGGTGGCTCCTCCTTTTCTCCCCATCTTCTCGCCCCCTCCCTGCCCTCCATGGTGCCCCCTCCAGGCAGCCTCTCCTCTCCCCCTTTGAACCAGGTTCCTCAGCCTCAGTCACAGCCCTTTCCGCCGCGGTGCCTTCGCTGGCCCTGACGTCTTTGTTGTGCCTGGGCTTTGCCATCTGTGCCTCGGTCCCCGTCCTCCCCCTCCAGTATGGCACCTTCGTCCTGCAAGTAATCAGCCGCTCCTTCCTCTACGGGGGCAACGCTGCCTTCCTCACCATTGCGTAAGTGGGCTTGGGGTGCGTTACATAATGGGGGACACACTGAGGGAAAAAGAAGTGTGCTGGAGGTAAGAAATTAGGAGGTGAGGATGGGCCTGGCGGTGGTCAGGTGAGGGAGACAGGGTCTGGGAGCAGGTAGAGGGGGTGATGCCTGGAGGTGGGAGCTGGTGGGAGCCTTCACATCAGCTCTCCCCTCTGCCTCTGTTATCTATCCAGTGAACTCCTATTCACCAGGCAGGGCCCTCTGTTCCAACTCTCCCAGGAAAGAAAGTTTCTTTCTTTGTGCCTTTGGTACCCAACCTAGTCTTGCTTCCTCAGTGCATGCATCGTCTGGCATAGAGTGATCTGTTGATATGTCTGTCCTTTCCTTGAGGCCTCCCCAGGGCACAGCCTGTGTCTGGGTCCCTGCTGGTTTCCCAGGGCCCGGCACAATGCCTTTTCGGTGTTCTGTGGTTTTAAAGGCTGAGCCACGCCAGAGGGGGAAGGGCTGTGTGGGGATGGGTGGGTGAAGGCAAGCCTAGGACAGGGGAGTCGGGAGCAAGTGGCTGACAAAGGCCCACCGAGGCCAGGCCCCCTACTAGGGGGAGGGACCCTGAAGCTCACTGGAACCCCCTTGTGTCTCCCTAGCTTCCCTTCGGAGCACTTTGGAAAGCTCTTTGGGCTGGTGATGGCCCTGTCAGCCATTGTGTCTCTGCTGCAGTTCCCCATCTTCATGCTCATCAAAGGCCCCCTCCAGAACGACCCGTTCTACGTGAGTACTCTGGGGACAGCAGGGATCCTGGCCTTTGACCAGCAAGGATTTTCAGCCTGGGGCAACTCTGTGGGACCCCAGCAGGGGGCGCCTCCAAACCTGAGAGTGCCCTGACCACCGCACAGCTCTGTCAGCCGCATTTAAAAGGTCAGCAGAGTGTAGAACAAGAGTTCCAATCAGTTGTTGGGAGAAAAAGAAAGGACTGAAGCTACAACCGAGGAGAATTGCTAGAATGACATTGGACAACCTCACTTAATAGTCAGGAGAGGGGTGCTTAGCTGGGGCCTCCACCCCCTTCCCACGTGACCTTGCTCAGGTCACTGGCTGCTCTGGAGGCCTCTGTTTCTTCACCTGTGAAATGGGCATAAGATCCTTTCCCCAGCCCACTCCACAGGGCAGAATGAAAAGCACCCGCTAGTCTTTCCTTGAGGCACCATGGTGTCTGAGTGGACAGTGGAAGAGGAACCAGGCAGAATTCTGGTCCCTTTGCTGGTGGTGGGTGCTGTTCAGTCCTGGGCTCCGCCTCACTCTGCCCCTCCCCCTCCAGGTGAACGTGATGCTGGTGCTGGTCACTCTCCTGACCTTCGCCCACCCCGTCCTGGTGTACCTCGAGTGCCGGCAGAAAGCAACCTCCCCAGCAGCTACTTTTTAGCCCTCGGATGCTTTTGTTTATCTTTCTTGGAGCACCCGTGTCCAGAAAGACTTTGCCCACCCTGGCTACATGTATTAAGTAGCCATTATTATTATTATTTGAGTATATTTTTATAGACTTCAGAGAGAGGAAGAAAGAGGGAGAGAGATAGAAACATCAACGATGACAGAGATTCATTGGTCAGCTGCATCCTGCATGCCCCGCACTGGGGATCAAGCCCGCAACCCAGGCATGTGCCCTGACCGGGAATCAAACCATGACCTCCTGGTTCATAGGTCGATGCTCAACC